GTGTGCATTTTTTTCGGCGAGGGACCATCGAGGAGCATCCCTGATCATTTGGCGAAAAAGCCACGCACGAAACCGAAAAAAACACAGGGAATGGACGTCCGAGCGGTGGCGAGGCCCTGGCCTGGGTCCGGTTCGAGGCTGGAGGCCTCGAAGGCTCTCTCGGGGCTTGCGCTGCCTCCCCTGGGCCTCCCGGGGGGGGCGTGCTCGTCGCCACGGCTGGGCCCGCCCAGGAACCCTATAGGCTTCAGTCGGGCCTGTCCCTCCTCCTCCTCCTCCTCCTCCTCCTCCTCCCAGGGGGAACATTCAAAAAATGTCAAAAATAGTAGGGGTGCTATTTTTTGCGTTCTTTTTGTGCCATTTGTGTTGAGGTGCATAACACACTTGATGTATCTTAGTGCACTGATGTAGGGCAGAGCAGAGTCGCATGTAGGTTGAGCAGAGTAGCACAGCAGGGAGGTAGCATAGCGAGACATGTTGCACTCCGCAGCCATCTGGTCCTAACAGGAAAAATATTCGTCATGGTAGCGTGAGCGGTTCATGCCTACGCACCGTGGCCGGCGGGATCCAGATACCCAACGCTGGCGGGAGGTGCGCGGCCAAGCTGACCGCGCAGGCCTCCCGCGACCGCCGCCTCCCCCGAGAGAGCGGCCAGGCCACGGTGCGGGCAGCTCCGCCTGTGGTGGGAAGAAGGGGTCGGCCTGGAAGGACCGGGCCCCTTGGCGCGCGGGCAGACCCGCCGCCAAAGCCGGCCCTGCCGGCAAGCGTGGCCGCGCGGGTAGCCCCGCCGCCACCGAGAGGCAGCCTCCGGAGCGCTGCCGCCTCAGGAGCGCACCGCGGACGACGGAGCTCCAAGAGCGCTTCACCAAGCTGAGAGGAGATGGAGGATCTCCAAGAGCAGGTACGAGCTCTGACAGCTCAGACGAGACAGCTGACGGAGCAGCTAACGCAGCAGCAGCAGTTGGTGCAGCAACAACAGCAGCAGCTGCAGCAACAAGCGCAGCAGCAAGCTCCAGCACAACAACAGGCAGTGCCACAGCAGCTCCTGGACTTCCTGGCGCAGCAACAGCAGCAACTCCAGCAGCAGCAGACCCAAGCGCAGCAGCAACTAGCGCAGCAACAGCAGCGGGCGGACGAGGCCATGCAGAGGATGATGGCCGCGTTCGAGGGCCTCGGTACCCGGTCGACATCGACGACGACGACCTCTGAGAGGCCGTGTCTCGTCGACACGAAAGGGATCGGGAAACCACAGCCGCTGCGCGGCGACAACTGGCCCTCCTTCTGCTTCAAGTACATGAACTTCATATCCAGCATGTACCCGGCTGCGCGAGACCTCCACGAGTGGGCGCAGAGCCACGAGGACACGATCCGAGGCATCGAGGAGGCGAAGCAGATCGACCCCGACGCAGAGCGCATCCAGAACCAGCTGTACACCGTGCTGGCGCAGCTGGTAGAGGGCGAGTCCGAAGAGATCGTGCGCAACTGCGAGAGCCACAAGTACCGCGGCTTCGAGAGCTGGAGGAGGTTGGCCCGGCGCTGGGACCCCATGAACTTGGGGCGCAAGAGGTCCATCCTCATGCGGGTTCTGAACCAGCCAGAGCAGAAGTTGGAGAACCTCAGCAGCGCCATCGAAGCATGGACGCAGGATATCACCCGATACCAGCAGAGGGCCAAGAAGACGATTGACGACGATATCAAGACAGCCGTCTTGATTTCCATGTGCCCGAACCCACTGAAGCAGCACTTGCAGTTGAACCAAAACTGGTTTGACTTCTACGACGACGTCGTGGAAGATTTCACCCAGTACCTGGAGACTCGCCGGGCCGGCCAGCTCGACAAGCCAGTTCCGATGGACATCGGCAGCCTACAGAAGGGCGCCGGCAGAGGCAAGAGCAAAGGCAAGGGCAAGGACGCGGGCAAGGCGTCTGGCGGCAAGGGCAAGCAGCCTTTCCAGGGCTACTGCAACAAGTGCTGGGAGTGGGGCCACATGGGCAAGGACTGCACGAGCGGCAAAGGCCGCGACGCCGACAGCAAGCCATGCGGCGTGTGTGGCAAGAAGGGGCACGCGAGCAAGGACTGCTGGCACGCGAACACGGGCAAGGCCAGCAAGGGCGCGCCGAAAGGCAGCAAGGGCGGCAAGACGAAGAAGGGCGGCAAGAAGGGGCTTCACGGCATGGAGACGTCTGGGGACTACGAGGACCAGCCGGAGCCGGAAGTGGGGGGCCTCGAGCTCTGCGCGGTGGAGAGGGCTGAGCAGGGCATTGGGCTGTTCGACGACATCTTCCGGACGGCGCTCGAGAGCCTGGACAGCGTCTTCAGCGGAGTGGGAGACTCCACCCCCGAGCCGCCGGCAGTCTGCGCGGGTAGACCCGCCGACGTGCCGGAGCCGACTGAGAAACGCCCGCCGAAAAAGCGCCCGCCGAAGAAGGCCAGAGAGAGGCAGAAGAGGAGGCAGCTGTGCGGAGCAGAAGCAGCAGGAGGAGCAGCAGGAGGATGCAGGTGCTGCGAGCAGGAGGAGGACGAGGAGGAGGAACAGGAGGAGGAATGCAACATCCCAGGCGCACCAGTCAAGGAGGAAGGATTGGAGGTGTTGGGTCTTTACTCACCGAAGTATGACCAGGAGTATGAGGTGATAGAAGCAGCCGTGGACAGCGGCGCCGGAGTCACCATCATGCCAGAGGAGATGTGCAGCGACCACCCTATCGATCCCGACGGGAGCGGCATCGAGTACAACGCAGCAGGGGGCCAGACGGTCACCGACAAGGGCCAGAGAAAGTTGCAGGTCGTGACAGAGAAGTGGCAGCAACGATCCATGAAGAGCCGCGTCGGGCCGGTCCGCCGCATGCTGCTTGCTGCCAGTGATCTCGTGGACCACGGGAACCGGGTTGTTCTCCAGAAAAACGGTAGTTACGTGGAGCACATCGGCACGAAGCAGAGGACACCTCTCAATCGCGCCAACGGGATATTCCTCATGAAGTTGTGGGTAAAGAAGAACAGCGCGCCTAAACAGCAAGGCGCCGAGGCCGCAACGAACCCGATGGAGATAGACCAGATGATCGCAGCGCTCCAGAAGCTAGAAAGCACCGGGGGCACGCAGGTGCCCACGGGGAGCGTGGTCGAGTCGAAGGTCGCCGAATCCATGGGTTTCTTCCGGCAGGTCCAGCCGTAAGACCGTCGGAGGCCAAAGTTTCACCACCAAGAGGGCAGCTAGCCCCTAATACCACTTGTTCTCACACTGTTTCACATGTTTCTCCGACCGAAGTAATGCCACTGGGTGCGGGTAGCACCGCCCGTGGCTCGGGCCCTGTGGCCCACGCAAACGGCAGTGGCCCCAACCAAGGGCCAGCGGCGAGAGGTGCGGGAAGCTCCGCCCTCGAGGAGAGCGCCGGCAGCGGCGCCCAAGACAGCAGGGACGACCCCATGGGTCCACCCAGGGATCCGCCTGCACAGGCCCCTCCGGGAGCAGAGGTCCCGGTGGAGGAGGAGCTCAGTTGTAAAATCTGCACTCCAATGAGGTCGCCCTGCGACCCGACACCGAAAGAGGTGGAGGAGCACGAAGCGTCGCAACACTTGCCGTTTCGGTCTTGGTGCCCAGACTGCGTGAAGGGGCGCGGGGCAGCGACGGCCCACGCAGACCTCGCAGCAGAACTAGAGCACGCGACGCCGACGATCTCCACTGACCACTTCTTCTTGGGTGGTTCTGACCAGCAGGCACTCGCATGCCTGGCGAAAGTGGACCACAAGACCCGCCTAAAGACTGCGCGGGTGGTTCCCCAGAAAGGGTTCCATGAGGCTGTAATAAAGCAGGAAGCCCGTGATATCAAGAACTGGGGAAGGACGAAGTTCATATATATGTCAGACCAAGAGAGCCCAATAACCGCAATGAAGGACGGTGTGATCGCCCAGCTGGGGACGGACTTCGAGGTCATCCCAGAACCCTCTAAGGTTGGAGAGTCACCGGGCAATGGCACGATCGAAAGAGCCATACAAGCCATCTCTGGGATGGTCAGAACCCTGAAGGTGGCGACAGAGAGAGCGTTCAAGATCACTCTTGATCCCCGGTCGAACATTCTGCACTGGCTGGTGCAGTTCGCTGGTTTCTCGTTGTCCAGGTACGAGCAGGGCGCCGACGGCAGGACGCCGTACGAGCGTGCAAAGGGCAAGCGTTTCAAGCTTGGCCTCCCAACCTTCGGGGAAAAGGTCTTCTATAGGAGACTTCGGAGCGACAGCGGCCGCCTGAACAAGCTTGACCCCAAGTGGTTGGAAGGAGTGTTCCTGGGGTGTAGAGATGATGTCCCGGAGTTCTTCATCGGTACGAAGGACGGCGTGGGCAGGTCGGCAGACATTCGTAGGCTGCCGCCGAGCAGCCGTTACGATGCGGAGGCGCTTGTAGCCGTCAAGGGAACGCCGTTGGACCCTGTCCCAGGAGACGCAGCAGCGACGCTGCCAGCGTCGTCAGGGCTCGTGGTCATCGATGTCCCAGAGCCATCAATGGTGCCACCAGATCCTCCGAGACATGAACCAGAGGTCTTGTCGAAAAAGCGCTTGTACATCACGAAACAAGATCTCAAGAGGCATGGCTGGACACGAGGGCGTCCGCGCTGCGAGGCGGACATGAGTGGTCAGAAGACGACCCTGCACCACACGGAGGGATGCAGGAGGCGCCTGGAGGAAGCAATCGGGAGAACTGACCAGGGCAAGAAACGCCTCCGAGAGGCCGAGAAGCCTTGGCCGACCATGCCCGGAGACAGGTGGAGGCCCAGCAGCCCGAGCAGGGCGCGGGAAACCCCGCACCTGCGAGCAAAGCACCACGGGCTGGCAGAGTCGCGGGAAGCACCGCACCTGCCGCGGCAGCAGGGCCGGTAGCAGGGAGCGCGGGTAGTTCCGCCCCCGCTTCCGGGGCCCAGCCGGCAGACGCCGACATGCCGCAACCAAGCTTACCTATGGCAGTAGACGCGGGTAGCACCGCCCCTGCCAGTGTCCCGGGCGGCGACGCCATGCCCATGGAGGACACGAGGCCAAAACGGAAGGCCGAGACAAGTGTTGAGGTGGACTTCCTCAGCACGGCCCTGCGGGAGTTGGGCGCCATGGGGGCGCCTGATTGCACAGCCAGACAGACCACCTCGGAGTGGTTAGGGTGCACGGGGGGCCGCGTGTTTGACATCAGGAGGGTGGACCCTGATGACGGCAGTTCCTGGGACTGCAGCCTTCCAGCGAAGCAGCGGAAGGTACTCTGGATGATCGAAGACGGCAATCCAGATCTTGTTGTGGGTTCACCAATGTATCATTCCTCAAATCCTCTTCATCATCTTCGTGAATGTTTTTCAATTTATAGGAGGGGGATGGAGGAGGGGAGATACTTCTTACACGTGCAACCTGATTGTGACACTTCGGCCTGGACGCTGGCTGGCGCAAAGGAGATTCTCAGGCAGGGCCGGGTGTACCTCGGGAGAGCGAAGGGTGTATGTTGGTTGTCCAACGGAAAAGAGCTAGCAGGCCGCATGGCATCCCTTCTTCCAGGACAGCGGGCCGACACAGCTGTCGTCCAGGGCCTCGAGGCACAGCTCAGAGCAGACGGGAGGATCAAACCTCTTTTCGCTTGTCCCCTGGAGCCGGAGGAGGACTTGCACGAATACCCTTCCATGGGTGATTGGTGTGATCATTCGACGGAACAGTATGTAGACGACGTATCAGGTTGTGCGCTTGATCCCGCGCTCGTGAAAGGGGCCCGCGAGGCCGAGTTGAGAGAAGTTGATGACTTCAAGGTGTACAAGTGGGCTCCGGTGGAAGAGGCCGTACAAGTAACAGGAAAGAAACCGATTGGCGTCCGTTGGTCAGACACCAACAAAGGGGACCAAAACAACCCCAACTACCGGAGCCGCCTCTGCGCCAAGGAGCTCAAGGTCAAAGATCCCGGAAAGGAGGGGACTTTCGCAGCGACGCCGCCGCTCGAGGCGCTGCGCTTCCTATGCTCCTTGATGATGACCGCGCCCGGAGGGGAGGACGCGGAGGCGCAGCAGCGCGGAGACACGTTGTTGTTGTTCATGGACGCTACACGTGCCCATTTCCACAGCCCCACGGATGAGCTGATCTACGTGGAGGCGCCGCCAGAGCGACACCGCCCAGGGTGGTGTTGGCGCCTCTTGAAAAGCATGTACGGGACCCGCCGGGCAGGACACAACTGGGAGCGGTTCTACACGAGCGTGCTGGTCGAGCGTCTTGGTTTTACCCAGGGCTTGAGCAGCCCATGCTTGTTCCTACACGGTAAACGCCGTGTGAGGGCTTGGGTGCATGGAGACGATTTCGTGTTTCTTGGATCACGCGTGGATGTCCTCTGGGTGGAAGAGCAGATACGGCAGCACATCAAGATGAAGAAAACTGGCTTGCTGGGTCCGGGGCCCCACGGCGACAAGGAAGTCCGATGCTTGAATCGAATCATTCGGCTCGACACTGCAAGGGATTGTCTTGAGTGGGAGTGCGATCCAAGGCACGCACAGATCACAGTCGAGCAGATGGGTCTCCGGAAGGACTCCAAAGGAGTGGTGACTCCTGGTGTTTCCACCGCAGTGCCGGACCCGAAGGACGATCCAGTTCTCGATAGAAGTGCAGCCACCCTCTTCCGTTCAGTGACCATGAGGACAGCGTACCAATCAATAGATCGACCAGAGTTGCTATATCCAGCCAAGGAGCTAGCAAGGGCGATGCAGAACCCGACGAGAAGCGCGCTGGAGAAGATCAAAAGGATCGCTCGCTATCTCGTGTCGGCGCCGCGGGTCGTGCAGGTGTTTCACCGTCAGCCGGAGCAAAGCAAGCTGATTCAGTACACTGACACGGACCATGCCGGGTGTAAGGTCACTCGCAGGTCAACCTCTGCAGGGGCAACAATGCACGGCAATCACACGTTGGCAGCGTATTCCACGACGCAGAAGCCGATAGCCACTTCTTCTGGAGAGTCGGAGTACTACGGCATGTTCAAGGCCGGGTCGCGCCTTGTGGGAATGGCCCTCATGGCCAAGGACTACGGCTTGACATACAAGGCCGAGCTCCGGGCAGATGCTTCTGCAGGCATCGGCATAGCATCGAGGCGTGGCATTGGCAAGATACGCCACCTGCACACGCAGGCATTGTGGCTACAGCAAGCAGTGGCCGATAAGCGCCTGAGCGTTGTGAAGACCAAGGGAGAGAGCAATCCAGCCAATCTTCCCACGAAGCACGTCGACGGGAAGACGATGTGGCAGCATCTGGCAGACCTCGGTTTCGAGCTCCGGAGTGGCCAGAGCAAGCTCGCCATTGAAGTGGCGAGGGATGCGTAACCTCCACGGCACAGTAGCCGGATGGCTTGGGTCAGCGGCTGCGGGGAGCACCGCGCCGGAAGGCGAAGCGGGTAGCTCCGCCCCCGTTGTGCTACGCGTAGTGCGGGTAGTTCCGCCTATGAGAGTGCGAAGGCAGGCCCGTGTGAACCACCGTGCGGGGAGCCCCGCCGTGGAACCCACACTCCACTACCTGACAGGGCGCGGTCTCACCAAGCGAGGGCTTGGCGACGTCCGCGAGAAGGGGTGTTGAGGTGCATGACACACTTGATGTATCTTAGTGCACTGATGTAGGGCAGAGCAGAGTCGCATGTAGGTTGAGCAGAGTAGCGCAGCAGGGAGGTAGCATAGCGAGACATGTTGCACTCCGCAGCCATCTGGTCCTAACAGGAAAAATATTCGTCAATTTGGGGGTATTCTGTGCTATTTGCTATTTGAGCTGTCGTCCAAGATCCCCCTGTAGGGGGACCGGCCCGACTGAACCCTAGGCCTCCCAGATGGGGTCGGAGTAGATGGGGTCGGAGGATCGGTGTGGAGCCCGATTTGCTCCACGTCGACGTCGCCGATGCATCGCCGATGCGGCGCGATCCCCCGGCCCCATCTACTCCGACCCCGTCCAGGAGGCCCCCGGGAGCCCTGCGCAGCCCGAGCCCCGGAGCAGGTCCAGGGGCCGACTGTTTTTTTCACCTCTGGGCCCCGGCAGCCCCGCGAGCCGTGAGCAGAAGTCGCGGCGGGAGCTCGTCTGCACGTTTCCCCAGTCAGTGCTTGCACTGGACTTGGCATCGCTCGGACGTGTGCATTTTTCCTTCGGCGAGGGCCATCGAGGAGCATCCTTGATCATTTGGCGAAGAAACCACGCACGAAACCGAAAAAAACACAGGGAATGGACGTCCGAGCGATGGCGAGTGGATGGGGTCCTGGCGGATGTTGGAAGGTTTGGCGAAAGTTCCGGGCCGATGTGTGTAGGCGGCTTCCCGGTCGTTGGTTCCGGGCCGATTTCGGTGGGCAGCGGGTTCGTTGGGCGGCGTGGTTCCCGGGGTTCCAATTTTTGGGTCCCGGACTCCCAGTCGATCTCACTATGGATGTCATGATCGATCTCACCATCCACTTCCTTCGATGGATCTCACGATCAATCTCACTACCGACCTCACTCTCGATATCACTATCGATCCCACTATTGATCCCACTGTCGATCACATTGTTCATGACACCATCGATCTCACGAACGATCGCACGATCGTTCTCACAATCGCTCTCGCGATCGGTCTGTCGATCGATGTCATCATCGATGCCACTATCGATCTCACTACCGATAACACAATTAATCTCCCAATCGGCCTCACGATAGATCTCACTCAATCGATACCACTATCGAACACACGACCGATCTCTCGATCGATTTCACTATCGATCTCACTCAATCGATATCACTATCCATCTGGCTATCGATTTCACTATTGGTCTTGGTACCGATCTCACTATCGATCTAACTCAATCGACCCCACTACCATTCTCACTATCGATATCGCTCTCGGTCTCACTATCGATCTCACGATCGATCTCTTTCAATGGATCTCAGTATCGATTGCGCTATCGATCTCACTATCGCTAGCATGGCAATGTATGGCATCTAACATAGCATGGGACACCCGTGCGCCACAGGACATCATGGGACACCACGGGACACCATGCGGATTTGTTTCGGGACACCAGCGGGACACAATCGGGACTCCGCAGGGCCACTGCTGGCCAACACGGGGGACAGCAACGTTTGGATCGGCTTCGCCCTGGCAACAGCGAGTTCATTCCTCTCGCCCGCCAAAGCAGCTTCGCCTCGCCCGCACGCGCGACACGAATGTGCATCCGAAACCAATATCCCAGTCAGGTGGTCTCCGTTCCACTGCGATGCCACCCCCGAACCTTCGATATGTATAGAGGGAGAGAGATTGTGAGAGAGAGAGAGAGAGAGAGAAAAAAAAGAGAGAGAGAGAGAGAGAAATATAAAGAGAGACAGAGAGAGATACAGATAACTATAACAAAACAACTATGGTAGATAAAGAATGGGCAAGGCGGAATAGAGAAAGAGAGAGAGAGAGACACAGATAAAGTGCGTGTAGGTACGTATCGGAGGTTGGGTGGTGAGATCGAAGTGGAACGGAGAGCCCTCCTACCGGGAAGTTGATTTCGGTTTCGTGTTCGTGCGCGCCGTGCGTGCGGGCGAGGCGAAGCTGCGTGGGCGGGCGAGAAGAAAGTCTCCTGTGGCTGAGGCGCGGCCGGACCAAATGACTCCCTTCCGGCGTCCGGTGGCCCGCGGTGTCCCGCCGGTGTCCCGCTGTGGTTGAGGCGCGGCCGGACCAAATGACTCCCTTCCGGCGTCCGGTGGCCCGCGGTGTCCCGCCGGTGTCCCGATAATGATGATGATGATGATGATGATGATGATGATGATGATCATGATGGTGTCCCGATGATAATGGTGATGATGATGATGATGTAGATGATGATGATGATGATGATGATGATGATGATGATGATGATAATGATTGTGATGGTGGTGATGATGATGGTGTCCCGATGGTGACGATGATGATGATGATGATGATGATGATGATGATGATGTTGACGATGTTGATGATGATGATGATGATGGTGATGGTGATTGTGGTCATGATGATGGTGTCCCGATGATGTTGATG